AAAAAAAAAAGAAAAAGAAAAGGACACTATACTTGGAAAGGTGGAGGGTCAGAGAAAGAGGAAGACCTTTCCACGAGGTGGATTGACGCCGTGACTATACCAGTGGGCTCGCGTACGTGAGTGATGATGTGGGTAGCGCAGGCTTCAGACCTACTTCCCAGGTTCACTAAGAGTCACAGTCTACTCAACAGCTCCTAACAACAACAGTCAGATTTCATTGTGATTTGAGTGGAAGTTTACAAAGCATATTATTTTTTCAATCATTTGTGCATAATTTTGTTTCATAACATCAGTTCTAATACACACGATGTCTGATTGTTGACTCATTCCATATTGTCTTTCCTGTCACTCATCTTAATGTTTATTATCTATTAATTAGCCTATAAATCATAGTCTCCTCGACGGCACAGAACATCAGCTCCTCTCCTAGTCTTCCTTGGAACCGTGCTGAGTGGTTCTTCCTGTTTGTGAACTTTTCTTTAGCATTCTACAACAGTGGCATTTGTCTTGTGCACAGTTTGTCTTTTTGTGACTGACTGACTTCACTCAGCATAATGTCCTGAGGATGGTGCACAGAGGAGAAGGTTCAGATCTGTCCTAACTGGGCTGTTAGAAGTCGTAGTCAACTCAGTGGGACCTGACAACAACGTCCTCTAAATTAGGTTATTATATAGTGTTTCACAAATTCATTGTTTTTCAGTGTTGCATAGTACTCCGCTGTGTGAATGTACTTTTGTTATACCCGTTTTGTGGATGAGAGTGGGATTAGTATTTTGTCTAAAGCACACAGCCAAGAAATGGTGACTCCGGATTTTATCTCCTAGCTGGCCAACTGAGAGCCTTTCAGGAATTACTACCAAACGGCTTCCAAAGTGGGGGTGAAGTCTGGTCTGGGTGCCCCAGGACTTCATTCCTCTCAGCGTCTGTCCTCATAGCCTCCTCTGTGGGCCTCTTTTTCCTCAGAACTACACGCCCACAGTGTTTGAGAGGTACAACTGCAGACTGCAGCTCAAGGACAAACCTGTACATCTCCAGATCTGGGACACGGCAGGTGAGCAAGCGTGTGGAGTTGGGGCTGGTAGTGTGCGGGTCAGAGGAGGGGCTTCTGTGGTATCCTGGTGCTGAGCAGAGCTCTGTCCGTCCAGGGAGGTCAACCCGTCTCCAAAGGCCGAGGGCTGGTCTGGACTGGGCGGTTCCAAGGACTTAACTCTCAAGTTCTGGGGACCTGGGAGGAGGTCTGGGGTGCACTGTATCTGGTCCCCCAGGGAGAGTGCTCGCTGTCTCTAACTTATGTAAGGTGCACCTGACCTTGGCATTGCCTTCTAGCCTTCTGACCTTGTCTACAGAGTTCAGAGTCCAGTCTGCTAAACACAGGGACTGAATCCCACATGCCTTTATCAGAGCCCACCCCTCATAGTACCCTCCCTCACTGGGGTCCCCACCCTTCTCTCTCTACCCTCCAGTTCAGGGCAGAGCAGGCTTTGGGGTGGCCAGCCTCCACTCCTCCAGGCCTGGCCTCTGCCTTGACCTCATCCTTCCAGAAAGGGCCTCTTTCAGCATGTGGCCCCACTCAGGCCAGGATGCTGTGGGACGAGGTAGGGGACATTCATACAGCTTCATGTTGGACCCCCGAGGCCCAGGACCATGCCCTGTCCTCCCAAAGGTCCCCATCCCACCATCTGACATGACACTGTCTGACATTGGGGAGATACTGACAGTGAGTGGGACGTAGTGACCCCTTTCTCTGCCCAGGACAAGACGACTATGACCGCCTGCGGCCCCTGTTCTACCCTGACGCCAGCGTCGTGCTGCTCTGCTTCGACGTCACCAACCCGAACAGCTTCAGCAACGTCTCTGACCGGGTAGGTCACCCATCCGTCCCACCCCCACCCTGACCCAGCTGGACATCTGAGCTGGCGCGGTCCTGGATGACAGTGAATCCAGTGCTGCCTTTGTGTGTGTACAGGGAAACTGAGGCTCTGAGAGCAGCTCCTCATGCTTGGGGGACAGGGCTGTGTCCCCTCCCCAAGCCGGGGCGACTCCTACTGCTCTCAGACCCCACCAGGTGACCCGAAGGCCTTACGTGTCTCCAGCCCCAGACAGCGAGGTCAGGTGAACCTCTATGTGTGTGTGTCCATGGGTCTCGACGGCCCCCCAGGACCCCTGCCCAGTTATGTCTGTCATCCCTGAGTCTAGGATGAGGTCCCCTGAGATCTCAGCTCCAGGCTTCACAACACAGCCCATCTTGTCTCTGCCAGCAATAATGGCAACATTTATCGAGGACCTGCCATGTGCCAGCTCCCCGGGTGGCACAGGTGGTTTGCCATAGGCTGCTACCAGCCAAAGAGCCTGCAGAGGAAAGCTCTGGAGAAACTTGTGCCACCGGCTCGTACCACCCTGCAGGCAGGACATAGCTGCCCCATGGGGCTTCCCAGGCAGGGATTTTTTTACAGGAAGAGATTTCTAAGTTGTACACCCACAGAGCCTCGGGGTGGATTCAAACCAGTAACCTTCAGTTAGCAGCAAGCACTTAGCCATTGCACCATCAAGGCAGGAAAACTGGGGAGCAGTTCCCCTGGATAGCACATGGGATGGCCATGAGTTGGAGTTGATGGCAATGAACTTGGTTTTTCCAGGAGCTGAGGGGGCAGTCAGGTGAAAGTGTTGAGTGGTTTGAAACCCCACAGCTGTGGAAGAGGTAGGGTGGGCTGGGAAGAGGCGTGCAGAGCTGTCCACAGGGCAGTGAGGCCCCTGGAGCACAGAGGGTCCCTGGAGAGAGAGGAACTGGGCAAGAAGAGTGAGGGGGAGGAGGAGGACTGGTGAGACCAGAAGAGAACAGAGCAGTGGCGACCAGAGCGGACTGCCCAGTCAACAGGGTAAACTCAGGCCTGTTCGGTAATCTGTAATGAACAGCTTCACAGAGGTGTCGTGGTGGGAATGTAAAATTCAGTAGCCTTTGTGGAAAGCAGTTTGGAGCTTCCTAAAAAAGTTTGGGATAGGCGAGCTCTGGTAGCCTAATGGCAAGAAGTTGCACTGCAATACCAGAGCTGCGCAGTTCGAATCCACCAGATGCTCTGCTGGAGAAGGAGGGACTAACTCCTCCTTTACCAGTCAGATCTGATTTTTCAGCACACACACAAAAATAATTTAAAAAAAAGTTTGGGATAGAAACAGCATTTGATCTAGCAAGCCACTGCTTACTATGTATTTACCCAACCAGCAAAGGGGGCAATGCAAACTGACACACACTCACCACGTTTATTTCAGCATTATTTGTTGTTTATTGTTAGGTGCCATCGAATTGCTTGCAACTCGTAGTAACCGTATGTACAACAGTCCTAAACCCAGCTGTATCCTGAGCCAACCTTATTGTCTCTGCCACACCTATCCCCCATTACCCCAGTCTCTGCATCAGTCCATCTCATAGAGGGTCTTCCCCCCCCCTGCACTGTCCCTCCACCCTTCCAAGCATGATGTCCCTCTCCAAGGACCTGTCCCTCCTTGCAACATGCATTATAAACAATAGCAGAGAATTGGCAACCATCCAAGTGTCCATCACTGGATGCATGGCTGAAGACCCCATAGTCCATTTGTACACTGGAGTAGCAGGCAGCACTAAAAACCAGTCAAGAGTCTGTGAGATACTGCACAATGTGGACGAATCCAGAACCAGTTATGACGTAAGTGGTCTAAGTCATTTACAAAAGAACAAGTACAATATAAGACCATTATAAAAGGCTTAAGGAGAAGCTTACACGTGGATACGATCATTTTTGGATTGTTGACAGAAATGAGAAAGGAAGGAGGGATGTTAGAGAAGCTGGGTGAAAGGAAATATACAATAAGGGGCTGATCTGTAAACTCAGTTAAAACAATGAATAGAAAGTGCACTGAACCCCGTGTGAAATTGTTCACCACAGATTAGTAAGTAAACACAGATCCCACTTCTGGAGGAAGGTGCTGGTAGGTCGGGGAGGTAGGCCCCAGCCACAGTCAGAAGCTGAGTCTTTGATGTGGTGATAGATGTGAAATTGTTCACTGCAGAGCATAATTTACCTTGAACTTACCTTGTCTGTTGGGATTCTGGGACCGGTGGGCCTCCAAAGTGGAGTACACATGACCTAGAGTGCCCCAGAGTAGGCCTGACCCCTGGCGTCCAGGCTGTTGGGACAGTCAGGTCGGATGAGGGCCAAGGGTGGGAATTCACTGTTGGATTAGCCAGGTGGGGGGCACCAGAGGACACCTTCTTCAGGGCAGCTTTTTAGAGTGGGTAGGCTGTATCAGGGGACCCAGCCACACTCCACTCGGGCAAGGGGTACAGACTCACCCGTCCCACAGAGGCTCAGTTCTGGAGTCTCCAGCTTCAAACAGGCCCAGTGCAAAATGCTAACTTCCTGAACAAAGGAGCTGAGCAGCCCGCCCTCCTGCAGGTGCGTGCCCCAGAGCCCTCCTCTGACTTCCAGAACACTGACAGGACAGGGGCGCTCCCGCCCACAGGCCTGCAAAAGCCAGGCACTGCCACCACCACTTCCCTAGCTTTTTGAAAGGATCACTAACTCTTCTAAATATTTTGCCCAGTTTGGGAGGCAAAAGACCTTACCAGGCCCAGAAACAGACATCTGGAGCAAGTAGGAGCTGGGCATGGGGCCTCACCCCCTCGGCACATAATCCTGTCACTTCCAGTTGTATGACCAATGCCAATTACATCATCTCTCTTTGCCTCACTTTCCGCATCTGTTCAATGGATTGATGCCAGCAGCTTCAGAGGGCTTGGGGGTGGATGCGTTTATCTGGACCCTGAATGTTGGACGTGCTGTGCTGACCCTCATTGCTAGGGTCCAGCCTGGGAACAGGAGAGTGGCCTGAGTGAGACCTGTCCCTAACCGAGGGACAGTGCTCCTGACGCCCCCTCCCCACAGTGGTACCCGGAGGTGAGTCACTTCTGCAAACACACACCCATCGTAGTTGTGGGCTGCAAGACGGACCTGCGCAAGGACAAATCGCTGGTGAAGAAGCTTCGGAAGAATGGGCTGGAGCCAGTGACCTACAACAGGGTAGGCCACCCAGGCAGGAGTGGGGGGCCAGAGGGCTGGGAGCAGGAGCTCGAAGAGGGAATCCCTGACACATATCTACTGTTCCTGCCCAGCCTCTGGGCCCCAGGTGACCGGCAGGCACAGGTTATAGGGATCAGGCTGTCATAGGTCAGAAGCTCCTAGAATATTCTAGAAAATTCCACTTGTGGAAGAGAGAGAGGGAAGGAGGCAGGAAGTTAATCTCACCCACTCATTTCACAGATAGAGAACTTGAGGCCCAACAGAGGTCACCCAGTTTTCTCAGCTGGGGCCTTGCTTAGTCAGGGAAGTTAGTTTACTGGTGTCTTCAGAGGCACAGAGACCCAACCCATAGCAGAGGTAGGAGACATGAGGGCTTGGTCAAGTAAGTTGGGAGGAGGCAAGGTGGCTGGAAAACTCTTATTACGGGCTTGCCCTGGGGTCAGTGCCAGGGGAGGCTGGGCGTGAGGACCACCAGGGGCCCTCATCTCATGGCAGCTCTGTCCTTCCTGCCAGGGCCAGGAGATGGCGAGGTCTGTGGGCGCTGTGGCCTATCTCGAGTGCTCAGCCCGGCTCCAGGACAACGTCCATGCGGTCTTCCAGAAGGCGGCTGTAGTGGCCCTCAGCAGCCGTAGGCGCAACTTCTGGCGCCGGGTTACCAGGAGTTTTTGTTTGATGACATGACCGCCTGCCGGACCACCACAGCCTACCTCCACTGCCCACCAGGCTCTCCGATGCCACGTTCTCAGTGGGCACTCCTTCCGCCACCTTGGCTTGGCTGGACCCAGTCACATGTCACCGATGGTGGCTGAACTGCCACCCAGACAGATGTTTACTACGTTTACTACCGAGACTGGCCTGGCCGTGGGGTCCCTGGACTGCAGCAGAACCTCTGAGACTTGCCCAAGCCCTTCACCCCTACAGGCGGCTGGCCGTGCATCACCGGGGATCTCCCACACTTCCACCTTCCAGCCCTGGACACACATCCCAGAGTAGAGCAGCCGAATGCAGACTGGCACCACGTGGTGGTCGTTTCCGGTGCCTTCCTGGACCATCTGCCTCTTTTCCTCCCCAGGACACACACACATCAGTGGTCTGTGACAGAAATAGCAACACTTAACAGCATGGCTCATGGTTGGTTGCGTGGCTTGTTGTGTTTTGTTTCTTTTTTCCCCATTTACGTTGAGAGTCTGCCTCTTATAGGCTCTGGAGTGGAGCCACTTGGGTACATACTATTTCCACAACATTGAGCAAATTGCTTGAGCTTCAGTGTTCTCGTCTGTGACATGGGACCTCACACAGACTGTGAATGCAGCTAGGAGAACCTGGCACACAGTAGGTGCTCATGAGAGGCTCAAAAGCACGACTGCATTTACTTACTTATTTCTTTAATAAGAGCCCTGGTGGCACAGTGGCTAAGTGCTTGGTTCTTAACCAAGAAGACGTAGGTTTGAAGCCCTTGGCCACTCCGTGGGGAAAAGAGGAGACAGCCTGCCTTGGAAACCCCATGGGACAGTCCTCTGCTCTGGTCTGATGGTGGAATCGGCTGGGCAGCAGTGGGATTGGGATTGTGTCTGTTTAATCACCTCATAGTTAATAATCATAACACTGCCAAGAGGTAAGAGGCAACAGGGCAGAACTTACTCTTCCCATTTATCAGATGAGAAGACTGAGACCAACCTATACTCCCACAAGCGTCAAGTCCATCACTTCCCCACTTACTCATCCATGCTCTCAGGCCCCTTGGCCTGCCTCCTCTCATCCTACTTGCCTTTAGGACCCCAGGCAGCATCCCACAGGCCTCTCAGGTCACCATCACGGAACCCGGCATTCCCAGGAAAGCAGATCCTTTCTGGTCATTTTCCTCGACCACCCTGGCAGGCTGGTTAGGGCCCTTCCTACATGCCACCTGGGGACCCTGAGCATGGCCCCATTAGACCCTGAGGGCCCAAACTGAGTTCTCTGTGTCACGATCCCAGCTCCTGTCATAGTGTGGGCTCACCAGCTACTGAGGAAATCGGTGACCGAAGTCCGTCCCTGTCAGGGAAGAGGCCTGGCCGGTGTCTAGATCTCCTGACAGCAGCACGTTATCTTCACCTATAGAAAGAATGCAGTGACCAGTCTGGCCCAGTTCTAGGCAATTCACCCCACGTTTCCAGCACACCTCTTCCAGGCTGCCACCTGGCCAGCATCTGTCACTCCACCCCCACAGCACTCCTAGAGGAAGGGCGTGGTTGTCCTTAGACTGAGGCTTGAAGAGGGTAACAGGCTGAGATTCGAATCCAGGTCTGCTCTTGACTAGAGCTGAAACATTGTATTCAGCGGCCCCACCTTCTAGGGGCTGAGGATTCGGGGGACCAGGACCCTGACCGTCAGGAGATCCAAGTCCAGTGCAAGAAGACAGATGCACTGATGTGTCAGTGTGATAGCCTCTGAGGTCTCGGGAGGTTAGAGAAAGGGTCATGTTTGAACTGGGCTTGGGAAGGCAGAAAGGAGAAATAAAGAAGAACATCTCAGCTTCAGGGTGTGCTGGGGGAGGGCCGGTCAGGCCGGGAGAACAGGCTGGACAGCGGCCTGCAGTCCAGGCAGGGGGCTCCACACAAGTGTCCAGTGCTGTCCACCCAGTGCGGCTCAGCTCTCACCTGAATCGTACACTTTCCCGTGGCCTGCGTGGGCCCTCGTGGCCAATCCCTCATCTGGTCTACCTGCTTCCTCACCTGGTCTACCTGGCCCTTCATTCGGCCTAAAGGGGTCCCTCACCAGAGCTGTTTCTGATTGAACAAGGGCGGAAGGCAGAGCTGGCTCTCATCTGTTATCTGTCATCTCAACCTGAAAGAAGGCCCAGGTCAGGTTCCAGGAAGTCGAGTGTCTCAGCTTTGCGCCGGCCTGCGGTGCTGGAAAACACACGTTTGGTTTTGCTTGGAAGGGGCTGCCTGAGACCTGTGGGGCAGTTCAGTTACACGGTGCAAGTGTCCAGGCCTGAATTCTGAGAGGGCTGGAAGAGTGGGCACTGGCAGCGTATATAGACCACACCCCAGCAGGAGCAGTCCCCACCAGCTGGCCTGTTACTGCGCCCACTTCATAGATAAGAAGACAGGGCCCTGTAGCTTGTTCAGGTTCTTAAGTGTCCAGTTCTGACTATCTGACCCCAAAACTGTCCACCCCAGCACTGAGCTCTTACCCCAAGTCCCTGCCCTGGGGCCTCTAGCCCAGATCTCTAGGCCTACACCTCCGCCCTTATCTGCTGCCCTTAAATTCCCCTGGTTCCCTGCTCTGCCCTCCCCACCCCAACCGTGTCACACTATTTCCTGACCACCCAAGTCTAGCCCCAAAAGACTCACAATTTAGTGACAACAGAAAGCCAGAAAAACCTTTTACCACAGCTATCACCACCACTGACACTGCTGCTACAGCGACCGCCACCACAGCTATCACCACAGACATCGTCACCACCACAGCTGCCATCACCACCACAGCCACAGCCACCACCACCACAGCCAATCACCATCACAGTCTCAACAAGGCAGGGCAAGGCCGTAGGAGCAGGCAGCTTGCCAATGCCCGCAGTGGTAGCAGAGTTGCTCACAGGAAAGCCAGGACAGGACACCTGCTGGGTGAGCCTTAAAGCCCAGCAGAACCAGGTACCCTCCATGTCTGGACCAGTGAGGTGGTATTTTTGGACCTATTTCACAGAAGCTACCAATAAGGACAGAGTGTTGAAGTGGCCTGCTGAAGGTCACGTGGCCAGAACCAGGACAGAGTGTCAAGCCAGCTCTCCACTGGCCGGCCTCCACCCCGCACCCCCAGCCACCACAGGGGAGCAGGGCTCTGGAATGAAGAGAGAGCATGGAGGCTGGGCAGTGGGGGCTCCAGAGGTGTGCAGGGGAAGGAAAAAGGGAAGGGGCTTCTGGGGCCAAGGCAAGAGGAAGAGGGCATGTGCCTGGGCGAGGTCAGGACCCTGCATGGGTGCAATGAGCATCAAAGAAAAAAAAACACACGCCATCTCAGACCCACAAACGCACTGCACAGAGTTGCTTGGACTCCGGGGTACCCTCCATCAGGATTCTGAGATTAAACCTCAATGAGAAGAGACTCTTATCATCCTTCCTCATCTGCAGAGCAGCTGGGGGATTTGAACAGCCAACTTTTCAGTCAGGAGTCACACACACACTTAACCTACTACACCACCAGGGCTCATGTAGGAGTTTCAGGATGTACATATTCCACATACTCTCTGACCACCCTCTCCCCACTAGCAGCCTCTCTCCGGTATCCGCAGTGTCCTGTCTGTTCCAGGGGAATCTCCCAGGGAAGTTGCTCCTGCCTAAGCCAGGGTCCCTGCTAGCTGGCAGGTTGGTGATTTCAACCCACTGGCTGCTTCTCAGAACAAGGTGACAGACTGCTTCCATTTGGATTTACAGCTTGGAGACCTGATTGGACAGGTCTGTCCTGCCCTGGGCTCTCCAGGTGACCTAATATTTATGGCCTCATCCGCCTTATCAAAGATGGTGGTGATTGGCCCATGACCACCTTCCCAACCTTGGCCCCAGGACACCCAACACTCAGGCCGTACCCAGCGGAGGTGGCCTGCTTCCCCTGGCATGCCATGAAGTGTGCTTCTGGTCAACCTCCCCTCAAATCCTGTCAAGCAGATGTGCACATGCCCACACTCTGCGCACTCATGTACACGTGCACACACACCTGGTGGAGTGAGGATGTGTGTCTCCTCCACACATCCACACACCTATGGACACACGCACACCTGTTGGAGTGCATGCGTGTGTCTCCTCTGCACATCCACACACCTGTGGACACACGCACACCTGCTGGAGTGCATGCGTGTATCTCCTCTGCACATCCACACACCTGTGGAAACACACGCATACCCCCCTGCTGGAGTGCATGCGTGTGTCTCCTCTGCACATCCACACACCTGTGGACACACGCACACCTGCTGGAGTGCATGCGTGTGTCTCCTCCACACATCCACACACCTGTAGACACACGCACACCTGCTGCATGCGCATGCGTGTCAAAGCATTCCTTCTCTCTGCAGTGCCTCTTGCCCGAGCTCTGGACTAGGCTAGGGTGGCCTCCAGGGTGGCCTCCAGAGATGACAGATTGGCAACACGACCAGACAGGTGGCCAGGAGGGAGGAGGCGGCCCAGGGAGACCAGTTGGACAGCTGCAACCCTCTAGACACACGAAGCAAGCCAGCACACGTCAAGGGTGGGTGACTTCTGGGTGGACTCCGGGAGGGCAGGTGGGGCAGGAATGTGGCCCCGCCCCCGTGTGGAAACTGGGGAGTTGGGGCAGGCCACACTACCCCCTCTCTCCCAGGAGGGTTGGCCTGGCAGAGGCAGCCCCGGAGGACCTGGTTTGCTCTCGGTCCCTCTCCTCCTCCATGCCCTGGATGTCCGGGGCCCCACATGAGGCTATTCGAGGTGTCCAGGAGGGCTCGGTATGACAGACTTTGGAGGCCTGGCCCAGCAACATGGGTTCACAAGAATCTTTCCCTTCCCCCAGCTTCTCCTGGCAGGGTACTGGGGGCAGGCTGGGGGAAGCTGGGGCCGCAAGCCACAAACCAAACTTCCTTTCCCCGCACCACCCCCCGCTTTGGTTTGTCTGCCGGGAACACAGGGGGCAGGGATGGGGGACCCCATGTCATACCCAGAAGGACAGGC